TTTACATACTCTAATAGTTTATTTGATTAATAAGGCAAAACCTTTTGTAATTATGTTTTGAAACTAATCATTGAATATTTATCTGTGATGAAAAACACAAAAATTATTGATTAAAAGCTTTTTTAATGTAAATTACATTTCATGAAGAAAATCACAGAAAAAATGTAAGAGCTCTCAAACACCAATGTTTTAAAAAAATTTAGAAGATTAACTCTATTACTCTAGATTTTTTGTAACCATTGCACAGCATTGTAGCCATTGCACAAATTGTATTCTTAATAATAGGAAACATAGGAAATCAACCTAGTGAAAGTAAAAATATGAATATTTGGAATAGAAAAATAACAAAACTAGTTATGAGCATTAATGTATTCTGTAAGTTATGAAGTAATGAGGCTTTGTTATAGTAATGAGGTGGTTGAGAATGTTAAATAATTGTTCTCTTGATCATTCTTATGTCGAGTAGTGCCGGTTCGAATCCTGTCAAATCCGGTTCAATGATATTTATTTCATGGCAGACCCACAGAAGGGATGTCAACAGTCAGAAATGGTGAGGTAGGTGGCAAAGGAAAAAAAAGTTGTGAAGTTGTGTAGTAAGCAAATGTTTACCTTTCTCATATATCAAGTCTCCTCTTATGGATATTTAAAACTATTTTCCCCATGAAAAAAAATTGATTTCTGGAGCTTTGAACTAAATTTAAATGATTTGTTTGAATTATATTATAAACATTAAATAACTAATCATTTAATCACCTATTTTGGCAAATATACTATTACTGTTTATTGTCATGTGAGAAAATGAACAATTAAAATTGAAGACACCTACAAGATTTCAATCCATTTTCCTCTCTTCTGGAAATATTTCACGATCGTCCTTTTCCTGAAACCAGGCAAACTTTCCAATAACAAAACATCCTATAGACTAATTAGTCTACTCACAATGTTTTCAAAAATTTATTAAATGAATCCTACCCATAATAGAAGCCCAAAACTTTCCTAACCAATTTGGATTTCATTCCCAACATTCCACATTCCAACAAGAACTCAGACCGCCAATTTGGATTTCATTCCCAACATTCCACAGTCCAACAAGGACTCCGAGTTGTTGATCATATATCCTCAGCCCTAGAAAGTAAGGAATATTGCTCGGGTGGATTTCTGGACACAGCACAAACATAGCATGCTGGATTACTCTTCAAGCTTAAAATCCATTTACTGCAGTCTTTATACCTAGTTCTCCAATCCTACCTCTCTGACCACTCCTTTTGAGTTTGCTGTCGTAGAGAACTCTCCAACCGTTATTCAATTGAGGCTGGTGTTCCATAAGTCAGTGTCTTGGGTCCCCTCTATTACCATTGATATTCCTATTCATCCCGATACCCTCCTGGCTGATGACACTACCATTCTATCATCCAACTCAGATCCTGAAACACATTCTTAAACCTATTAAGGCACATCTCCCTTATTGAACACTGGTGTGATAATGGGCACATCCATGTAAATGATTCTAAATCCAAAGATACCAACTTCACCCTGGATTATAAATCATCTCTACCCAGCTTCCATTACCAGACACAGTCCAGTATCATGGCTTCATCTTAGACAGGAGACTAACATGAAACTCACATACTAGACTTAAAATACCAGAATTTAACTGATAATATGGCCAGCATTACAGATTACTCAATAGAAAATCCAAACTTTCTTTTGAAAATAAATTACTGATCTACAAGACAATCCTGAAACCTATGTTTTAGGACTATGGGGGACAGCTAAGTTTTCTAAACATCAACAGCATTCAATCTTTCAATTCTAAAGTCCTTTGAACAATAGTTCATGATCCCTTCTATGTAACCAACAAAACCCTACATAATGACCTTAATATTTCATGTATTTTTAGTTTATTTTACCTTTTGAAGTTATTTATTTTTCTTTATGATATTTTATTTGTATTTATTATATGATATACTTAATGTATTTATTGATTATATCATATAATAAACAACATTTTCTGTAAATATGGTGTGAATGTGCTCTCTGATGTATATTATAATTGTTCTTAATTGAGACAGATTGTATTATTTCTCAAGAAACAAGATTTTAAAAAAGTTTTCAAAAGCATGTGGCACTAGAATAGGATGTGCGAACATTATTTTTTCCAGGCAATAATTGTTTATTGTTTTTAAAACACTTCTCATTTTCCAACTGAGATAGTATAAAATAATAACAAATAAAATTTAATTCACTTTGGAAACTACTGAACCGAAAAAAATTTTTCATATGTCAATCATTTATCAATTATTTTAGCATGATCCAATATGAATTGGCTATGTTAAACTAATCATAGTGTACCACAAGTCAGGAAACAACTAGGTCACATAAGCTACAAATGAAAATCGACAAAAATTAGACTTAAAAGAGATTTTGGTATAAGTTGTAAACCTTCTGGTTGGAACAGTCTATAATACAGATAAAGCTTACAACAGGGATGGGCAAATTCTGTTCTGAGTACCGAGTACCAAGTATTTTACTCAAATTGAATCACTATTGAGAATTCAATCACTACTTCAGTTTATCGTTTGACATCAACGGAAGCATACTTTCAGACTTTCAATTATGATTGGGGGGACGATGGATCAAAAAAAAAAATAAATAAATAAAAAAAAAATAAAAAAAAGGCGGGAGTTTTTATTACGTGTTAAAAAAATCAACAAATATAATATTGTGTGCTTAAAATTAATTTGTTTATATGTTTGAATAATTGTAGGGATTTTTTTTTTTACTTATTATATGTACTTGAAAATCTAGAAAAAAAAACCTATGACATATTTGTTTAGATTAAACATTGGGTGAGGAGGAGACAGCCTTCATAACATTACTACATTTCCAGAAATTTTCAGCTAAAAATAAATAATGTAAACAAAAAAATATTTGAATTAAAAAAAAAACCGACAACAGAAAGTGGGAAATTCTATCGACCCTAAGAGAATGTACTTCCGTATCTGATTAAACATCTTGGTAGAATGATATAGAAATTGACATCTTAGAATATTTACCTATAAAATGGGTGTAATAGTTGGGTGCCTTTCACTACACATTACAGCTTCAGACAAATAGATGTTGTCCCATCAATTGGTGCAAGTAAATATCCGAAAATGTTGAATTATGTTCGGGGTGTGGTAGGCACTCGATTATTACACCAAGTTTAAATATTATTAGATGTAAATTTTCCTATCAATATACCAAGATGTTTAAGTGAATATGGAAGTAAATTCCGTTAGGATGGATAAAATTTCTTAATTTCTGTAGTCAGGTATTTTTTAATTCAAATATTTGTTTACTATAACATTTTTATAATTTAAATATTAACAATTTATTTCCATAACATATCATCGGTAAAATAATGAATCTTCTGTCCAAAGTTGCACATTCGCTACTTTAACAAGGTGCCATCGATATGGTCACATGATATCATTTCAAATAAATTAATAATCAAGATACTTAAACTATAATAAAAATGTTTTTCAGTATTTTGTACTCAAATTGTTTCAAAACATTCATGGGATCCCACTGAGTAATTTCAGCCGTCAAAGTTAAAAATCGGTCAAGCCATCTGCTCAAAACATAAGGGGCCATTTTATCAGATTGATTAAACAAACTTTACACAGTAATTTGGTAACCATTACTCAGAGTAGCATTTGCCCGTCTCTGGCTTCAATAGAACTAGGATCCCTTCCTTAATCACAAGCTTCAGTTAACCATCTGTACTCTTAAATGTTGGCACCTGTTTTCCAAGTAATTATTTTAATTTCATAAGTCTTCATCAACCAAGTTGAAGAAAATAAATATAAAATTTGTATGCAATATTGTTGCCTTAAAAGGATTTTAGACAAAAAATTTATGTTTGTTGTGTAAAAAAAATAATAAACAATTTTTATTGCTTTATTTTATATTCAGTGCTCTTTGACTTCTTCCTGTCATTATTAACCAATTCGATAAAAGTATGTAAATGGTTCCAAAACTGAATTCACTGGAATCGAAAAACTCAATTTAATTCGAGAAGTGAAGGTTGAAACAAATTTAGTAACAGCTGAGAGACAATGTTCCTGGAGTGTGTGTTATAAGGTTAAAGATGAAAAGGTTAAAGATGTAACATTGAGATACAACTAATATGGAAACTTTTGATGTTCTTCATCACAGTGTTTGGCTTAAAAACAAATTGTATCATGTTCCTTCAATATTCAGTGGAGTATAAAGAAAAAGAAAATTATAATTTAGAAGTTTTACTGATTAGGTATTACTTTTTATTTATTTTTTTCCAAGTACTCCAGGAGGCTTGTGCATGGAGCATATAATCAATCCATAAATCCATTTCTTCTTAATGTAAAGTGTGAATTATACACAAAATTTCATTTATAAAATAACATCCAGAAAGAAAGATACTCATGCAACATATATATAAAATAACCAGGGGCATGATTAATTATTTTAAAACGAAATGTGTGTACTGACTGTTTCTCTTCTTATATCTAATAAAAATACACTGAAAAATGAAGGAAACATGAAACTAGTTTTGCCTTTGAGTTAAAACATACTAACTTAGTTGGCCACAGATTATACATACATATATATGTACATACATAGATATATACTATATATATATATATATATATATATATATATATATATATATATATATGAACTGATAAAATATATTAATGGAAAACATACAAAGCTCATTAAAGTTTTTCTTAGTTTACTGCACAATAATGTGGGGTGCAGATATGAGTACAATTACAGTTGCAATGATTGTGAACAAAGAAAAAATTATGAGACATACTCTGTCAACTACCATCGCTGCAAACTTCCAATCACTTATAAGTTCAGCTTCTTCATCAGCTTTTCTCATTCTACTTGTAATAAATTGTAGTTCTCGAAGAATACATTGTAGTTCTCTTTGAGCAGATAAACAGTTTGAATCATCAATGTTCAAACCAGACCTTAGAAAACTACTATTGCTGCTCGTGCAATGCCTCAGGTCATCTTCAATGTCAAGAACATTTGCTAGCAGACTTTTTGATGATCGTTCCTTTAGTTCCAAGTCTTTCATTCTATTACTTAAAGTTATTGTTTTTCGAGTAATTTTTTTTCCTGGCCTACTCATTTTGAGTATCCAAGGTAACCACTGTAGGAACACTGTTCTAATCTGTTAAAAAAAAAGAAAGAAAAATTGGTAAAATATCATAATTTAATTAATTAATTGAAAAAAGCATGGAAAATAATAATCACTGCTAATAAGGAAATTTTCAATACATTCAATGCAAATAACATTTATGACAAACTTAATTTGTTTTATTTTTCAAATATTCCGTATTCATAGAGTAGAAATGTGAATTAAAGATACTCATAAAAGTTGAAGGAAGTCCATTTTTAACACACACACACACACACACACACATATATATATATATATATATATATATATATATATATATATATATATATATATATATATATACAATATATATATCTATTGATAAACTTCCTAATAGATAAACAGTTTTACGTACAAATTGGAAATTCATATTCATCAAGCCACTTGCTAAAAAATGGTATCCCTCAAGGCTCTCAACTTAGCATTACCCTTTTCTTAATCACCATCAATGAACTGGCGTCAATTTTTGAAAGACCAACCAAAGTCATCTTATTTATGTCGTTTGAGAGGTTCCACTCAGAATCATCCACTTTTAATGGGAATAAACAATATAGCATTTATTGATGAGCTGAAATATATAAGGATTTATATGGATAAACGTTTAACTTGGGGCAGCCACAGCAAACTCAAGGATGACTGTTTACAAGGATTGAGCTTACTAAAATGTCTTTCACACTCAAGTTGGGGAGTTGATAGGCTGAGTCTCATGAGGATATACCAAACTACAACAAGAACTAAGATGGACTACAGCTCAGTAATCTACGGTTCTGTCAGAACATCCACTCTGAGGATGCTGGACGTAGTTCACAATGCTGCACTTAAGATATGCACTGTGGCTTATAGAACATCACGTGTTCAAAGCATTTATAGTGCAGAACCTCCATTGAAACTAAAAAAGAGCATTTCTATCGGTTTGATATATAACAAAGTTAGCCTCCCTACCAAACCACCCATTAAATCCAATCAGGAGTGAGTCCTTTCCAATATAGCCTCCTTGGAAAGGCACTGCAACTAAGAGTTACTAAATTAGTTTCAACGTTCAACAAAAATACAAACATAAATTGCATTAAACACTATTTAAACACCACTAAAATGCCACTACAATGTAAATATAAATCTATCGCTCACTAAGACCTGCAAAGACTTGTTAAATCCCGTAGAGGCTCCTGTACACTGACGCATCTAAATGTGAGGACTCACCTGTAGGATGTGTGGTGATAGGAGAAAGTGAATAGTTCCTCTTTTTATTGTCTCGAGCCTGTTCTATTTTCATGGGATAAGCGACCACCATCAAGGAAACTCTTCTATATTGCCAAGGGCCTAACTAGTGGAAGATAGCTATCATAACTGATTCGAAGGGTGTCCTACAGCCACGTAACAATCTGAGACCAAAACATTCAGCAATAGCTGAAATTTTGAACATTGTATGGGAAATAGAAGAAAAATGTTGTGATGTACCTTTCATTTGGGCCCCATCCCATTATGGGATTAAAGGGAACAAAGAAGCATAGATTGCTTCTTGGACAGCCCGAATTGCTGACATTAGTGAAATAAAAATTCTAAATTATGTCCCTCGGGAAGATAGGGTAAGGAAGTTTAAATTGTTATTGGTGATCCAGTGGAATGAGACCTGGAAGAGCTGTCCCTCGAAACTACTCCACATAAAATAAAACAGCTCAAAATGGAGCACTAGATGCAGAGGTTCAAGGCGGGAGGAAATAATATTGTGCCATCTCAGGATTGTCCATTTCGAATTCTCTCATGGATATCTTCTCTGCGGTCTGTAAGCCTATACCTGTGTCATGTGTGGTGCTCCTAGAACAGTCACCCACTTATTGGTATACATCAATAAGAAAAAAACTGAAGTTGGGTTACCATATATAAGAAGTCCTAGATGGCTTGGAAACTGGTGTAAAATCTCTTATGGAATTCTCAAAAGAAATGGAGTTTTACAATCGAGTGTAGAAATATAAGAAATGCCAATGACCCTTCGGAGTAGGGGCATTACCACAATAAACAATATTGTTATTATCTATTTATGAAACATTTGTTAAATTAACCAAGTGATTGTGCAAGGTTATTTGTTATTTATTACATTAATTTGTGGATGAATTTGATGCTATTAACATAAACCATAGAAATATTGAGCTGTAAATCGCAAAAGTTCATTTTCTCTAATACTCCCATAGAGTGTAACAACTGAAATTTGAGATAAGATAACACGTTGTATTAGAGCACACTTTCCATCCAAGCTCAAGACTGTCAATGTCATGACGTACATTTCGCCAGAAACATATCAACTCTTCACTAGTTCAGAACTGAACTCAAAATTCTACAGTGAACATGTAATAGCACTTTATTATTTATGTTCAATATTCTGCTGAATCTAAATATAAAAATAACTTTGAGCTCAATTAGTATTATTAACAATAAAATAATTAATGGCAAGTCAGATAAATAAATCAAATGCTCATGCCACTGATGTAAAAAACATAGCACACAAAGCAATGAATACTAGGACAAGACGGAAAGTTGAAGAATATGGCGAGAAAAGATGGAAGGATAAGTGACTTTGTCAGAGAAAAACGAGGGATTCGAAAAAGACAGAAATTGAAGCAGCTGAAACATGGATAGCAGATGGAAATGTTTAAAAATTCTATGAGTCTATAAACTGACATAGAAAACCATTCAAACTCTGCCACGCTACTTGCAAATATCTTCATGGCAACATACTTGTAGAGAAAGAGGTCTGTATGAACCAATGGAAGAGGAATTTCGCAGGGAATTGCAGAGAAAGACCAGTTGAGTTGAAAAATGAGGATGAACCTATTCTACTGCTAGGTTTCTGCACACCACTATTCTAAGGCGGGAAGGGGGTTCCAGAAATCTCATTTATTTGTATTTAATGTATTTGATATTTATTTTTGTATTTCTATCGATTCCAAATGAGCACCGACCTACTTAAAATTTATTTCAATTATGTATTTAGAGACTAGATACCACAGACCTCCTGCTGTAAGGTACTAGCTTGAAGTTTAATTTCTACTGGATATCTTTTCAAAAGGTGTCATGTTTACAATTTACTATTTGTATCTATATCTAAGTGGTACAGGGATATTTCCTAAAGAATTAAGATTTCATCAAATATGTAATCTATTTATAAATTTACAACTTTTATAAACTTGGAAAATCATATTAGGAAAATGATTGTATGAATAGGACTGATTGAAAAACTATTAAGTTACTGATTGCCAATCAAGTTTACACAGTTAAATCTAAATGGATGTTCTGAGTGGTTGTATGTTGTGGAGACCATAGCTATTTCTTCCTGATGTTTGGTGTTGCCGTCATCTTGATGTCTCTTCTTCTCTTGGCTGCTAGGCACCTCTCTCTCAAGTACCATCTCCCTCTAGGATTGACCTCTTCTCATCAGGTTTTTTCCTCCAGTACTGCTATGTATCTTTAGCTGTCTCAGACTCTGTATCCACCCTGGACAGCTGTGTACCACACACTGACTCTATCTTCCCTGTACTTGTTCTAGATTCCTTTTTCTAAGTTTTTCTCATTGGATGAAGTTTCGTACCAGAGGGGATGACCATGTCTTAAGGCTGCACGGCCGTTTCATATTGCTTGAAGTCGTTTTTGGACCTTCTCTGTATATGTGTCGGCTATCTGTTTACACTATTCTAATGGAATGCATTCGAGTTTATTGCCCCTACCCCCAACCAAGAACCTTATCTGGATGTCCAGTACAGGTGGGTCACTAAGGTTACCTGGGTTACCTGACTCAGTCTTGTCTTTACTGACAATTTTTAGAATGTTCTTTAAGGCTAACTTTATTTATTGATATTTAATCTTAAAACGTGTTTTAAATCTTCTCTACAAATGATATTAAATCAGCCTCTACGACACATAGCACTACCAGTCGAAGACATGGAGCTACCCAATGATGGAGAGGTTACAGAAACTCTATAAAAATTAAACAATCACAAGACACCTGGGATAGATGATATTCCAGGTGCTGTTCTTGAAAAGGCTCTTCACAACCTTACCATAGACATATTGGTGCACAATATGATTCCGAATGGATGGGAGAAATCCATAAACTGCCCAGGGAGGGAGGGAGACACAAACTTTACTATTTAATTGTAAATAGAACAACAAATTAAAAATTATTATAGTTGGGAAGCTAGTTCGGGAGTAAAGTCAGTGAGAAACACAAATAACTCTTGAGTTCTTGTTTTGACTTCCAAACGATAGCTCTGAGGATGACCCAAATGTTTGAGTCAAAACGTTGGCTACCCAGTAAAAATATCGACTGAAATCCCTGACAATTTTATCTCATCTGTATATATTTTAATTTTTTATTCATTTCTTAAAATTTATTATTATTAGATAATATAGATTTTGGTCTCATATCTTTTTCAAATGGTTGTTTAATAATTTTTTTTTCATTTATCTTGTCTTCTATCAGCCCTGATGAAGGTCTGAAACTTTTTGAAAGCACAAAACAAATTTTTTTATTTTTTTATTTCTCACTGACTGTAACCCCTCATTGACTTCTCAACCATATTATCTGCATTCAACTATTTCTTCAACATTAAAAATAATTTTAATGAGTAAAAGTCTTATTAATTTACCCAATTAGGCATTTCATGTATATCTGCAGTCCTATGATGGTAATTCAGAACAACAACTGTCAGTACTACTGATGATGCCACCATGAACATAATACAGTTGAAATAAGTACCTGAAATGTGAAATACATTTGTTAATAGATGTAAACATCCATATCATCAATTGATATGCGTTCAACAACATAGTTTAAAAAAATGAAAAGATTAATGCATCTCTGCATCCACTAAAAAAATAAATTTGTTGGGTTAGAAATAAAATTCTTTCTCAGTTAAATAAAATTTGTACTTTGTATATGTATTTTTTGCACAGGTATGATATATATATATATATATATATATTAAATTTATTAATGATAATTATTCCCAACTCATTTACATGCATATATGGAAAAATGCACACATATACGTGTTTATTAGTGTAAGCATGTTATGAGCAGTTACAGTAGCATTATTTTTTTCATAAAAACTGAAATTATATATATTACTGACATGAATATTTTGCTATTTTTATCATTAAGTAGTCTATGATATTAATTACAAAATTTTGCATACATATACAAATACTCTCAAATAAAAAACATAATGGATATGGAAAAAAGTACATAAAAGTGCACTAACATCGATTACATTACCACAAACATTTCATATGCAAAATTCTCATTAAAACCAAAAGAAATGTAATTTACACACACAAAAAAACAAAAAAAAATTTTAAAAAAACACACAATCTTAAAGGTACCAATTTATAAAAGAAACACTTATTTATAAAAGAAATATACATCAAGGAAAAAAATACAGAATAAAATTGATGGAACAACCATACAATCTAAAAGAACAGACAGTAAATACTGAGCAACAAAATGTGAACAATGGCATGAATGTGTTCTAAAAAAAAAAAACAGTTAAAGTTTGATATTGAAAAAAAGGGTGCAAATTTTAAAAAATGCTATGAATATGTAAAAAAGAAAAAGAAATAAAAAAAAAAAAAGAAAGAGAGGAACAAGAGATAGCCATATCCATTCATACAACAAAATCACAGTACATGCAGTGTACTGCAAAACACCAGCATTTATTTTCTAATGCATTATCTTTGGATGCAATGTAGGACTGATTAAAATTGTAACATGAATGTAATATAGTCTGTTGTTTTTTTTTATTTGTATCCATGCTTTTTCTAAATAAATTATCTAGTTAAAAGGAAATAGAAATAAACTGATTGGAAAGCATGTATCAAGAGATGCAACATATAAAACCATCAATATATATAATTCAGGCAATGTTATATCTACCGCAGAAATAATACTAACAATCGCAGCCTCCTCTGTGTAGGTAGCATTGAGCTGCTTTTTATTTATTTAATCTATACAAAACATGTTCAATTTTTTTATTAATACTTTTAATAAATTGAATTTTTAATAATTTAATATACGTTTTATATATATATATATATATATATATATATATATATATATATATATATATATATATATATATATATATATATATAATAAGTAATTATGATCATTATATTTTTAAAATAAACTAATGAATCAATAATTGCAACAATAACCATTACTAAGAGAATAAACCAATCCCGTTAAAGCCTAGAATTGCAATTTTTCATAAGAAATAATAATAATAAAACAATAATGTTTTAATTAATAACATGTTAACAGATTATTAGCATTGTAAGTAAAAATCTACTTATTAAGAATATTGTATAAACAAATGTTAGTTTAAACTATGAATTCAAATTTAATTTAGTTTATAAATCAAGATTTTTAAATGATTGACTGCATAAATATAACAAAGATCCTTATATACAACACACTCCACTTAACACTACTGTACAGTAGTGAGAACTGAGTCTTTCTAGATAGACACAAAAGTAGACTTACCACTGCCGAAATGAAATATTTGAGAAGAGTAGCTGGCTGAACTTGAAGAGATTGCATCCGAAACGAACATATAAGAGAAAATGTTAAAGTGATACCAATGCTGGAAACCATGGAAAAGAAAACGCTCAAACGGTTCGGCCATATTATAAGGATGGACGAGGACAGGGAACCCAGAAAATTTCTTGAGGCAAGACCCACAGAAAAGATGCCTAGAGGATGTCCACGGAAAACTTGAATTGACGAAATAATGAAGCTGGGACAGAGAAGAGGCGAGCAGATGGGTTATATGGAGAACCTGGTGAGAGACTGTGATGATTGGCATAAATGGGTCGAGGCTCCTCCATGCTGAAAGGCACTAAGGAGGAAGACAAAGAAGAAGAAGAAGAAGACTGCATAAATAAATTTGAAATGTTCACTAATTTGCTTTTAAATAAATGTTAATAATAATAATAATAAATAATCACAAACTAATATGATAATGTTATTTCTTCTAACTTCAAATCCCATATCAAAGAGACATCTTTCTTACTATACAAAATAAAAAAAAAGGTTTATACTAAGTGAAAAAAGATAATCAATTTACCATACTAAAAGAAGAAAAATGTTATGAAGTAATTATAATTATGAAATGGTAATTATTTTATGAAGAAATATTCCCACCAATAAAAAAAATGGTCAATCCTAAAATGAGTATACCTTATTTGGGAGAAAACATGTTTATATATATATATATATATATATATATATATATATATATATATATATATATATATAAATAATCATTTTGTGATGAATAAAGATAATTTAATGCTTATTGAACTGGAATGGATAAAAATAACATTTTCTTTAAATTTATTAATTTAAATAGCCCATTGTAGCTTCTATTATAATTTATTCGAAGTATTGGACATCATGGTAACATACAGGTATAATGAAAAACATGTATGTTGTGACTAATTCAAAAACCTAAAGAATTGTTGAAAATATCAGAAATGGTGATAAATATTCTCAGAACTGTTATGCTCAAAGCCTTAACAATTATTTTTAATCAGATATAGCGATGATGGTGATAACAACTCATTGGTTATAATGGCTTATTTGATGACCCACCAAACATTAATGGATCCTTTTTACTGACATATTTCCATGAACTCATCTGTTTTAATTTAAACTCCTGAATTAAACAAAATGAGGATTCCTTTCTGATCAGTGAAATTTTAACTAAGTATCTTCTTTTTTCTCTTCACTCTTTGAATTAAATGGTCACAGCTCTCATCTCAGGGGTCAGAATACTTTCCTCACTGGTTATTCCCAGTAAATTATTGACAATACTAGTATGTGAGTTTTTCTTCAAGGGGGATAAAACTTTGTGTAGTCCACACAAGCAGGTTCTATGATTTTCATTCCTAATTTCATCAACAGGTTCTTGGTTTCTTGGTTTCTTTGTTTGATGGGGAGGAATAGCCTTTCTCAAAAAAGGATTATCTGCCACCTACAGATATTTCGAATTTAAATTAAAAAAATTCTATTCTCTATTATCCTCTATGGTTTGTAAACCAGTGATGGTTTACAAGATGTATGATTGGCAATAATGACCGAATATCCCTGGTCCCTTAGAGGTCATTACAAATAATATCCAATTTATTTTTAAGCAATATTATTTATTGGTGGGTAAGAGGATAGCTTCACTGACTTTAAAACACACAATAAATAATTTATAGTGATACATGTAAAGGGCTAACTCTTAAGAGCGCGGAGAACATGAGTTTTCCTGCCCCAGGTATGTGTGTTTTTTAAGGCTACTGAAGGCCATTCACACTGATTGGGCGTAAGAGTGATGACCCTACCCATGTACCTAAATCAGGAAT